CTCTTCGTTGCCATACTTGCTGCCTTCGCTCATATATGTGTCGTGGCGTTGAGCAGACTCGGTTCGGTCCTGTTGCAAACCCACCATGCCGGCAATGTCCGAATCACTCTCACGAAGACCGCCTGCTGGAAACGATCCGAATCCCTGCGGGGCATGGGCAGGGCTTCCGGTAACCGCGTCTAGCTCCACTGCTTGACCCACGGGTCCCTGCGGGTTATCGCCCGGCAGTGGTGGCGGCGATTCCGCTCTAGGTAGGCTGTTTCGATCTGGGTTGTACGGCTCGTAGCCCCCTTGCACCATGTTCGGAAGAGAGGGATTCGTGCTGTTGTTGGCGCCGTACTCCGATGCGCCATCCGATGGACCCCGCCCGTAAGACCCTGCATAGCCATTGGCCGGGCTGGGTCGCCTGTCATATGGCCCTGGACTCTGATGACCCTGGGGAGTCGCACGGCCGCCTCCCATCATGACGCCCGCGGCGTGCCCTCCCCTTGACGGCGGCCCGTAGCCTCCTCCTCCCATATTACCACCGCCAGGGCCATATCCACCACGGCCCCTGGGACCGTAGCCTCCGCGGCCATTCGTCGGAGGGGGACCACCGTAACCTCCTCGACCGCCATAGCCACCGCGGCCTCGATACCCGCCTGGGGGAGGGCCCCCGCGGCCTCTCGAGTTCATGCGGTCAAACGAGCGGCTGTGTTCTAGGGAGGGCTCTCGGCGGACGTTTTCGTATGGATCCTGATGGACAGCGATGGGATTGCCATACTGATCACGTTCCGGATGGGGTATAGAGCCCGCCCTTGACGGTGGCATCATGTCGCTGTGGCCGGACCGGTTGGTGGGGCTTTGGGCCGTCAGGGGGATGCGTTCATCGCTACCATGGTCGTGTTCGTCCTCCTTCTTCTGTTGCTCAAACGAAGCAAACTGAGGTAGGGCGTCGGCCCCCCCGTTTCCTCCACTCAAAGCAGGGACGGTCGGTTGCGAGGCAGCTGCGGTGAAGGTAGCGGCCTTCGCTTGGGCCTCGCGGTTGAAGTAGTTTTCTCCACTCATCTCTGCATTTTCAGCGATCTTCTTCCGGCGCGATTTTCTGCTAACCAGGGTACGCCACATGGCGCAGGAAACCAGCCCGCTCAGACCAACCATGATAGTTGCGGCCAGCGTGATGTACGATCCCCATGCCATATGAGGAATAAAAAGAAGGACGTCGACGAGGAACGCGAGCAGGCAGACGAGAAAGACGATGATGGAGTATATGAAGAGGACCAAGAGGTACCGAGACGAATGCGACGGCGAATGCAGATGGGCGACCACGGCCATGACGAACATTACTAGCGTAAAGAGAGCGGCGATGGGGTGCACGATCAGGATGGGGGCAAGCGTGTTCCGGACCGATTCGGGCAGGTCGAAGTCCTGAGGACTATGGTCGGCTGCAGTCTCACAGTTAGCACGCGCTACTCTAGGTATCTTGACGGCCCCTCAGCTCCGAGGCCAAAGACGCGCCGTAAGACGGCCGCGACCCAACCGGGCTGACAGACCAGGATAGAAGACAACTTACAAAGGCTATAGCCTATTTGAATACCGCTGCAACTGCCACCATCACAGAAGCCGAAAACGCCAAAACTGACGCCATCGAAATGGGCGAGGGGAATGGCCTCTATGATAGGGGCCGACAAGACGGAGAGCAGCAGCAGAGCGAAAGCCGCAAAGAGCAGAATGGAGAGAGGGGTGGCGGGCCTCAGCATGATGTGCTTCGGAATTATGTTTCCTTTTCCCCCCCTTGTTGTTGTTGTTGTTGTTGTTGTTGTTGTTGTTGTTGTTGTTGTTGTTGTTGTTGTTCTTGTTCTTGTTGTTGTTGTCGCTATGGATAGAAGGAACCCGCGTTTCGGTGGGAGGGGAGAGCCGCTATGAAGCAACGCCGGCGACAAAGGGACGTTGGACGAGTCGCCCGACACAAGCCAATGCGACAGGGTGGCGTGTGTGATCTTTTAGTAAAAAGGCGAGATGAGTCCGGGCATTGTCAAAACGGGATGTGCGAGGCCAACGTTCTGAGGGACGGTTCGCGACGGAAGCGGATCGAGACTCAGAGCCGATATGATTCAAGCGTTCGCCGGTTTAGTTCGTTTTCCTAAGCGTCGCTGGTTTTGACTCTGCTCGACTCCTGGGTTCAGCAGTGTTCGGTCGAACGTGTGACGGTGCTGCCGGACTATGAAAGGAAGACGAGCGACGATAGAAGGAAGCCAAGCAAGCGCATGAGGTGAGCTCGATGCTAAATCAATCGTAGTGCGATTGGTGAATGAGTGAGGTTGAAGACTTGGGAAAAAATGAGTGTGTGGTATGAAGGAGCGAAAGAAGAAACCGGTCAATGAGAGAATTTGAATTATCCCGGATTACCTGGGCCGCTACAAACACATGTCCAGGCTGGAAAACCAGGTATTCAGCAGAATGAGTGGAAGAGTTGGGAACAGGAGGAAGGGTGTCAGGAACTGGGCGTGGGACAGCGAGCCTGCCCACACTAGGCGCGCACAGGACGGGTAATCCCCACGGAGTACAACAGAACTTGAGTGTACTACTGCTACCGTGTGTGGAGTAGCCGGTACCTGTATATTGCCGTTCGTTTTCTATTGTCCTATGTACTGTCTTTTCTGAAGAACTACACCGAATACACAACTTCGAAAGGGTGGTGTGGGGATATGCACTGTCAAAACACTGTGCGCCGCAGTTTTGGGTCCAAGTTCTGATTAATTGCGAAATCCAAGGGGTTACTTTAGCCTAGCGGAACTTTAGCAGCAGGGCCCATCAGGGGGGCCAATGGCTGGGGTCCGCACACGTTGGAACCTGATAAACTTGACTTGAAGATACGAAATCATTAATCATCATGTGTGCAGATGGAGAAAAGGTTCTCTTTTCTCTGTTATCCATTCCCCATTCGACGCCATCAGTCTGCTTCGCCTGGCTCCAACCAAGACGAACACAAGTCGCATGCAACGAGCTTGGCTCTGATCTTCATGACGTCTATCATTGATCACTCCGTTCCGTTCCGTCCCTTTCCTGCCCTCTCTTCCTCCATGCCCTGTTTCTATCTTTTTAAGAAGAAGGGGGAATTCGCCAGGAAAGGAAAGGAAAAGGAACCCTGCATTTGTCAGGTTTTAACTCCGTCGAGGCACGACTCTTCACAATGGGAAGCGCTCCTCATGAATGCAACGTCGAGCGTTTGACTTGTGATACCAATCCGCTAATCGTGTACTACGGTGTACTACGGAGACCCTGTCAGATCCCCTCAGGCACCATCCGCCAACTGAGTACGGAGTACTTTGTACGATGGAATTCTTCATGCAAAAGACAATCTTCCGTGCGTCTTTATCGATGACATGATCTGTTTGACGCCGAGCCAATTCCCAATTCGGGGGCAACAGGGTTTCAAGCTTTCTTTCTATATATATATATATATATGTATAAAAGCGACTGTATCTAATAGTACATGTTAGAACTAGAGAGCCAGTTGCACTAATTGGAACTCACGCGTCGGAGTAGAATCATTTTGCTCCGGGCCAGACACGGCTGGGCCCATGTACGATATTCTCTATCGGCTGGCCTACGTTGTACAGTGTACGCCTGCGTCTGCCCTAGCGTCGTTAAAATTAGCCAGCAGATTGATACCTTAGCTTGTTCCTTCGCTCTTTGAAAGAAAAATGCTGCGGATCCTTCAGTGGCAAGTCTCAAATCCTGCATCCAATATTGAAATTTGGGGTTTTCGTCGCAGAGCATAAACACTACGGTACGGCGGCTTCACCTTCGTCACGGTCTGGGTACAGTTTGTATCCTTTCAAGATGCACTTTCCACGAAAGTCTCATTCAAGTTGTCCCTGAACTTATCCATGTAGGATTCCACATCAGAGCCTCATCATCTTGCGGTTCGCGGTTCATCTTCTCATCATCTGGATGGAACGAGCCAGTAAGATGGGGGGCTGGCAATTTTCCGTTGACAGGTGGTAAAGACTGTCAGGATGCCTAAAGTGGATATCGGCCGGAAAGGCGGAGACTTCGTCATTTACATGTACGGATGAACCTACGGAGTAATTACAGGTACGGATACACGGCACGTCGGTGTCAAGGAAATTTATCTTCTCCATCAGCCTCGTTTTACTTCCCAGACGAGAGCGAATCGACTCTCTCGTCTGTTCCTCTTCGCAGGCTCGCCATGTTACCAAATACCATGGCTTCACGGTCCTTCCTAAGGAGACCGGCTACCTCAAGAATAAGAATGGGAGCAAGTTGTCTGGCCATCTCGACCACCACATCGTTTCGATCCTCTATCGCCCTTCATCCATCGACATCCCGACACGTATCGACATTATCGACATATTCTGCCATCTCCTCCTTGACCTCTTCACGCCTCTCTCTTACCCGAACAGACCGATTCCCCCGGGCCGCACGGTTACGTCTACCGTCACAACAACAAACAAGGAGTTTCCAGGGCCCGGGGGGTGCCTTTCAGCCGCTCCAGCCCCCCTCTCCCTCCTCCCTCGGTGCCCCCAAGGCCGCTCGCACCTACACACGCCCCCGCAAACTCCTCCGCCGTCTCCTCATCCTTTCCTTTGCCCTTGGCACTCTCTACGCCGTCGACCGCTACGCCTACTCCTCCGGCATCGGGCGCTCCCTTCGCACCTTCGGCATCGGTCTGCTCGTGGCAGCCGACTATAAGCTCAACTTCCGCCCGGACCCTTGGTTCGGAGACTCCATCACCGACGTGCACCGTCGCAATGCCGAGCGCATCTTCCACCTCCTGCGCGTCAACGGTGGTCTATACCTCAAGATGGGCCAGGCCATCGCCATGCAGTCCGCCATCATGCCTCCCGAGTTCCAGCGCATGTTCTCCCGCATGTTCGACGACGCCCCGCAGGGCCCCTGGTCCGACGTCGAGGCCGTTATACGCGAGGACTTTGGAGGCAGGTCGCCGGAGGAGGTCTTTGGCGTCAGCTTCTCGGGCGAACAACCGGGCAAAGGTCTCATGGAGCGCCGTGCCCGTGCCAGCGCGAGCGTCGCCCAGGTGCACTGGGCCCGCCTACCCGACGGCCGCGAGGTGGCCATCAAGATCCAGAAGCGTGAAATCGCCAAGCAGATATCATGGGACCTGTGGGCCTTCAAGACGGTCACCTGGGTCTACAGCAAGTGGTTCGACTTGCCCCTCTACAGTCTCGTCCCCTTCATTACGGAACGGCTTGAGCTGGAGACGGACTTTGAGAACGAGGCACGCAACTCGGAGACGATGCGCCGTCTCGTCGAAGGCGAGAGAGGCCTGCGCGGCCGCGTTTACGTCCCGAACGTCTACCCGGAGTTGTCGTCCAAGCGCGTATTGACCGCCGAGTGGATCGAGGGCGTCCGACTATGGGATAAGGAAGGAATCACGGGCCGGTGGCTGGGAGGCCGCGCCAACGGTTCCCCGGGCGCCCAGGGTGCGGCCCTGCACCCGGAAACCGACATGGAGGCGGCGCGCCGCGAGCTGCGAGCGCGACCGTACGCCGAACGGCTCAAGCCGGAGCGGACCGAGTGGAAGGGCCGGCGCGGCCGAGGCGGGCTTGGCCTGTCGACCAAGGACGTCATGACGACCATGGTGGACCTCTTCTCGGCGCAGATCTTCAAGTGGGGGGTGGTGCACTGCGACCCGCACCCGGGCAACTTGTTCGTGCGGCGCAAACCGGGCGGGCAGGCCGAGCTGGTGCTCATCGACCACGGGCTGTACGTGTACATGAAGCCCGACTTCCGACGACAATACGGCCAGTTCTGGAAGGCGCTGATGACGTTCGACAACGCGACCATCACGCGGGTGGCGGCCGAGTGGGGCATCCGGGCGGCCGACATCTTCGCCAGCGCGACGCTGCTCCGGCCCTACGAGGGGGGCGACTCGAGCACGCGCAAGGGCATCCTGAAGGGCCTGGAGGGGGCGACGCCGGCGGAGCGGCAGTACGCCATGCAGCAGAAGATGAAGCAGGGCATCCGAGAGATGCTGGGCGACGAGGAGAAGTGGCCCAAGGAGCTCATCTTCATCGGCAGGAACATGCGCATCGTGCAGGCCAACAACCAGCACTTAGGCTCTCCGGTCAACCGGGTCAAGATGATGGGCGAGTGGGCGAGTCGCAGCCTGTTCGAGGACCGGGCTTTGCCTCTGGGGAGCAGGCTCGGCAACGCATGGCGGCATGTCCTCTTCAAGCTCGTCATGCTCGCCTCCGACGTGGCCTTCTACTTCTTCCGGCTCAGGCAGTGGCTTGGCAGGGGCGGAGGTATGGAGGACGAGATGGAGAAGAGGATGAAGGTGATGGCGCAGGACTACGGTATAGAGTTGCAGCAAGATGTCTTTGAGGGATAGGCAAGGCAAAAAAAAGAAGAAAAAATTTACCGAGTGGGATAGAGATAACATAGAGGAAAGGACTCCGGGGCGCATGTAGTTGCGACGGCCAGCTATATGTCTGAGAATCCCCCCTCCTTACATCTTGTATTTTGCAAAATATTTTGTTCGAAGCCGTACTTGTACAATATAGGTAGGTAATCGAAGCAGGCACAGGATGAAACCTGCTGAGGTGGAAAGGCGCGTGGTGTTTCGGTTGGGCAAAAACAAGGACCGGCATTGAATCATAGAAGCCTGTAGAGTATGGAGCTATATCGAGTTTGTTCTACCATGAATCTTTCTCTCGCAGCACCATCTGACATAGACCATCCTATTATAGTCTTTGTACGTGTATTTGGTTTGTCGGCGGAAATACAGTCGCAGGCGTCGACGACAACAGGAACAGTTAGAAATTAGTAAGCAGTCGGCGATTCTACACGTACCTTAGGTAAGATTATTGGTGGTTTAGCGTCAAACGTGAAACGAGAAGGCGGGCCATATACCCGTTGGGGCCGCCCGTCGAATTTCATCTCGATTGGTGCGAGTTCGATAGGGCTCCTTGTGTTCGAGTTCAATAGTGCGGAGAAGCTCGTGACGCTAAACTGAGGTACCTATACTTGTAAGGGGCTAGCAAACCCGTTGTGGATGTCCTGCACATGGTTGCACACTTGGTTCCAAAGATAATTGGTTGCTTCGAGGAGACCGGCTTCCAGACACGTATGGACGAAGTACTTGGCATATAACGCGCCGATTCAGGGGCTGGAATTAGAGGAAGGTGTTCCCCCCCCGGTCTAAAGAAAGTGCTTCATGAGGAACGAACGGGTGCAGTCTCGTGTTTCTCTCATCTGTTTTCTAGATTGAAAGAATAAGAAGCTTATTAAGACGGGGTCCTGTTGTTTATCGGAGGGAAGATCGACGCCCAGGGCTTGGTCGGGCAAGGGCACAGACGGATAAAATATCGCGGGTTTTTGCATCAGCCATGCCGCTTCCCCCTTGAGTTGGCATGCATTTTGTCGGCAGGTACAACGTACTTCTCTTCTCCTCTTTCTCTTCTCTTCGTCTTGGGGTCAAGTCGTACTTCGCAACCTCGTACCAAATAACATGAGACTATGTCGTATCTACCTACTATATCCGTACTTTGTAGTTACTCGCCCACGTAGCCACGCTTGATGTGATGTGTTCTCAACTGTTTGGCGTTCCGGCATAATTAAGATAATGCCGGCGAGAATATCCCAATCCAGATGCTGCGCATCAGCCTTGATGGTGAAGAGTCCAGGAATGCAGCACCACGAGGCAGAGTGGCTTTAAATCGAAGGGCACTCAATCGTTCTGTTTCGGACCCTGACCTGTACGAAGTAGACGCCGTCTCTAACGAGCAAATCAGAACGGCAAGGGGAATGTATTTCAAGCTCCGCCCCTGGTGTGGAGAGAGTTTTTAGCACGTCTTCTTCAGCTGTACTTTCGTACGAAGTACACCTACACGGTGCGTATCCGTCCTTACGTGACGGGAATATACGTATCGGACGGGTCCGAATGGGCGGCATGTATCCGTGCTTCGAAAATTCGATACTGTATCTATACTTTACTCGATCCGGACATCCAGAACAGGAGAGTGGAGCACTCCCAGTCCTCACTCATCAAATGACCCCTTTTTCCCGATGCCCGTCAGAGTTCAGCAAAGATCTTCAGCAGAAAAAGAAGAATAACCTGATGGAGATAACTGATAAGAAAGAAACAAACAAACACACGAAGTACGAAGTAGAAAATAAAATACAAATCATACTTTTTAATAGAAGGGAGAATCGGACTTGATAAGGACGACTTGAAACAAAAGACAGCAGAGGTCAACTTGGCCCGAACGTAGCCCCACCCCGGTCCTGTGTCCCTTACCCAGAACAGTGGAATACATGCAAGGTACCGAGCTGGAGGAAGACAAGACCAATATAAGTACCCAAGGCAAGGTACCTGTCGGAAAGTACCTCTTCGTCTCCAGTCCCCTGAAAATTCCCCAAGAAAAAGTACTCCGTGTATCTGGACTAGATGCTGTTAAAATTGTACCTGCCTTGCCCCAACGCGGAGGGACGTGTTCACGGTCAGTTCTTCTTACCCTTTGGGTTCTCTCCTTTCCGCCGTCGCGCAACATCACCCACCTTCTTCCTCCCCTTCCTTTTTGACCTCTATTTCTCTCCACTTGGAATATATTCTTTTCCTTTCTTTTCTTATGACTATCTACACCTTAGGTGGGTGCTGATATCGAGCACGACAGGTAAGTGCAGAATTCGGTGTTGCGCTGTATTACATGCCTGCTTCGTGTCTCTTCGCCTCCTTTTCCTGCCCAGCTTGCACTGCAGATGGAGATGGATGATGCTGCGGCGTGTCGCGCATTTCCCTTGCAAGTCAAGGTCATGTCACCATGTTTCGCCGCCTCCTTCATACCCGCGTTGCACCCTCTCCAATCCATCAACCCGCCCTATTAACCCGCCCTCTCGACGTTTCCTTGCTTTCGCCGTTCCACTTTGTCTTCGAATCGCAACTCACTGAGCCTTTCTACCCTCCTCGCCTCCCCCCCATGCTGCTCTTGTCCACCTAATTACTTCTTGTCGCATCTTACTGATTGTCGCTCTCGCACCAGCATACTCTTCTCGATTGCCCCGCTACCGCACCTTGTTACACTTTTCTTTTATTCCAGGCAGACAGCTTTCGTTCGTTTTTCGACCTGCCCGTCGCGCAACCGTCTCGACTATATCAAGTATCTCCTCGCAGTCTCAGTGATTGCCTCAAATCTGTCAGACACAGCGAGGGACGCAAGTTATTATAACACAGTTTCGTTCTCTAGTGCTGTGGCATTTCTTCTCAATAGGTACGTGACTTTGCGGCCGGCTTCTTCGTTGCCTTTGCTGTCGCTAGACCCCAAAGTGTTGCACTCGCCGCCGGTACTCAGTGTGTGTTCTCTTATGTCCGGGTTTTCTTCCTATGATCCCGTTACCACCAACTGGCCGACGATCCTAGCTTCAATCCAGAGTTGGTGTTGCCGATATCAAGCCATCTGGATAATATCCAGCCCCAACGAAAAAGGAGTTCTCAGGAACCGTCCGACCCCGCCATACCCAACCATCCTGCAGGCGATAGCCCCTGGCCTTGGCTAAAGATGGCTGGGACATAATTCAATCGAGAAAAGTCGTCAAATGGCTGACATAGTTGTGTAGAGACAGTCTCCCTCCGTCAGAAATAAGCGCGAGACTACGAAGACCCCGTCCGGCCACGTTTTGACCGCCTCGTCAATCGTCATTTCCACCAGCCATCCTCAGCTCTGCGCAAGACTATTCCCCTAGTGTCTTCACTTTGAATCGCCCTACCAATCAAGAGCGACCCGTGGCACCGAACGATATTTGACTTTGCACCTCGAGATTCTGAGCAGCCGTGACTCTCTGGCCCGCCGTCGACGGTTTATGCCACATCTTACAAAATAATGAGCGCTCCGCGTCGCTCTAGTCTAGGCATGTTACTCCGACGCAGTAAATCCGGTGACCTTGGGAAGGGCGGTAAGAAGGCCCAGGCCCAGAGGGAGCAGGAACTTGAACGCCAGCGGAAAGCGGCCGTCTCCAGAACCCCGCCCAAGCTACCCGAGTTTTATAAGACCGGCGACCAACTCCCCTTATCCAACTCGTTTCCATCCGGCCTGCGCACCGAAGCTGGCTCTGTTCTCCCCGACGACCATCATCACGGCATGTACTCGGGTCGCCCGTCGATGGAGCCTAGCCAGAGTGTTGTCAGCTCTGTGCCAATCCCTCCCATCCCCAATAATGGCTGGGATCCTTATGCGCGAACCGAGAGCATGACCCATCGTGGTCGGTACAGCTACGCCAGCAGCGCCGTCAGTACCATCAATAGCCCTAGGAGGGTTCGGAGACGCAAGGACCCCACACCTTTCAAGTAAGTCATCTGTCTCGGACCCCACCTGTTAGCTAACCAGGCGGGCCGCTGACGATCGCACTCTGCAGCATCCTGATCATTGGAACCCGCGGCGCAGGCAAGACATCGTTTCTTGAATTCCTGAAGACCGCGCTCGCCCTCCCGGCCAAGAAGCGGAGCCGCAGAACCGAGGCCGAGGAGGACACGACTCCCAGGGTCGCACCTTTCGGCAATTTCATCCCTCATTACCTCGAGACGGAAATAGATGGCGAGCGAGTGGGACTTACGCTCTGGGATTCGGAAGGCCTAGAGAAGAATGTGGTCGACCTGCAATTGAGGGAGATGTCGGCCTTCCTGGAGAGCCGATTTGAGGAGACCTTCGCCGAGGAAATGAAAGTGGTGCGGTCGCCTGGCGTACAGGACACTCACGTCCATGCTGCTTTCTTAATCCTCGACCCGTCGCGGCTCGACCGCAACTTGGCCTCTGCCAAGGCCATCTCCAACGGTCACAACGGCAAGTACGCCACGGCCCGGACCCCGGGTGGAGGACTGGACGAAGATCTCGACCTTCAGGTTCTGCGCACTCTTCAGGGCAAGACGACCGTCATCCCCGTCATCTCCAAGGCCGACACAATCACCACCCGGCATATGCAAGTCCTCAAAAAGAGTATCTGGGATAGCATCAAGAAGTCCAACCTAGATCCACTCGAGGCTCTAGGGCTCGACGAAGAGGACGACGATTCGTCTTCCGACCGAATCGATGAGGTCGACGAGGACGAATACGCCGCCGGAGAGTCGGACCAGACACCTGAAGGCGAGGAATTGCCCATCCAGGGCTCAGAGGAGGTCACGTCCGCACCGTCGTCCCCATCTGCCAAACGCCTTTCCGGTCAGTCGATCCGTCGTCACAAAGCCAAGGAAGACGAAAAGCAGGAGAAGGACGAGCTCCCGTTTTTGCCTCTTTCGATCATCAGCCCCGACCTGTACGAGCCGGAGATCGCAGGCCGTCAATTCCCATGGGGCTTCGCTGACCCCTACAACGAGGAACACTGTGATTTCACTAAACTAAAGGACGCCGTCTTCACCGAGTGGCGCGCCGAGCTCCGCGAGGCCAGCCGAGAACGGTGGTACGAAGGATGGAGGACTTCTCGTCTCAAGAACCGAACAAACCGGCGATAGGCTTATACGGTCGTCGCGAGGCTCTAGTGGTCACCCACTGCGGGCGGTGGATCGTTTTTCGGCTAAAAGACAAAAAGATCTCCTTACTCGTCCAACTGGCTGGCTCAGGCATTGATTGTATCGTTCAACGCCATTCATTCTACTCAGTTTTGTATGACTCTTGGCTTTTTCTCCTCGCACGGAGATTCTATTACTTCCCTCGATGTCATCCTCACAGGTTCTGAAGCCTCTTGCTTTCTTTTTTTTTTTCGACCGCCTACTCTTTGGTTCCCGCCTTTCTTTCTCATTCTGTGTTGTTTTTATCTCAATTTTTTTTTTTCGAGGCTACAAAGCACAACATGCGACATACCCCTTTTGTCTTTTCCTATGTCCTCTATTTTGCTCTGACCCGCTTGACGAACTTCGGGACTGAGTGTAAGTTGGTAGTTCACACACAAAATATGTACACAATGGACAAGACACGGCAGTGGCTGTACCTGGATTTCGGTTTGGTTGACGGGAGCGTCGGTTCGTCAAAAGGAGACGCGGCCTGGCTTTGCCGCGGGCCTGAAATTCCCAGTGTCACGCCGTGCCTGGGCTTTGGAGGCCTTGTGAAGTTGAGGACCTGCTCAAGTGCAGGTCAAGGTGATCATGGTGTGTTCTGTTACTGGAGGAGCGAATGTGGTCAAATGGCCGTAAAACGCAAAACCTGGGTGCCAGGAAATGGAGGCTTCGCGTTATACCCTCTTTACCTTATGCTTCCTCCTTAATTCAATCAACCACCCGTTTTGTAGGTTCTATCTGATCGAAGTGTGAGCAGTTCCTCATTTGTAACTATTTGCGTGTTCCAATGACGCCTGGGGTGTCAAGTCGATTTTGTGGATAAACAAATGTCATGCTGAACGTCGCGGGGCTCACATTCAACATTTTGACTACTGGAGTCCGATATAGCCAGACTCTTTTCCTGGACACCATGGTATTCCGCTCCAGCTGACCTGACCATGGTTCACGGTCCCGCATGGATTCCGTAAAAGGTATCAATTCCCGCCGCGATGCGCCCACCACTCCATGTTCAAACAAGCCAAATGAAACGGAACCCGAAAAGGCCCGAAGACCAAGAATACAAAAAGGGCATGATGCAAAATTATATGTTGTCGTGGGCACCAATCGTAGCAAGAGCCGCAGATGGTGGAAGCGAATAGCGAGTTCTCACTCAACTCTGAAAAGCGTGCTCATCATACGTGCGGACCCGTGTACTCAACATTGGTAGGTCTGCCATCGGAATCGACGTCCGATTCTCGGCGGTTGGGATTGCGACCACGGGCGATGAGGATAGCGCGTTCTTTCTTGCCGAGGATAACACCGTCGAGGCCTGGAGGGAGGGGGAGGTCGGCTCTGAAGGCGTGACGCGAATGTTAGTCGTGGTTGGTTCCCAGGAGAGGGGATGGGAGAAAGAAGAAAGAAGAAAAGAAAAGAAAAAAAAAAGGAGGATAAAAGGGGGAAAAGGGGAAA